AGCCCAGTATCCTGTCTTCTGACGGTGGCCAATACCAGGTGCCCCAGAGGGAATGAACAGAACAGGGCAATTATCGAGTGACCCATTCCCTGTCGTCCATTCCCAGCTTCTGGCAAACAGAGGCTAGGGACACCCAGAGCATGGGGCTGCATCCCTGACCATCTTGGCTAATAGCCATTGATGGACCTATCCTCCATGAACTTAAATAATTCTTTTTTGAACCCTGTTATATTCTCGGCCTTCACAACATCCTCTGGCAAAGAGTTCCACAGGTTGACTGTGCATTGTGTGAAGAAATACTCCCTTTTGTTTGTTTTAAACCTACTGCCTATTAGTTTCATTGGGTGACCCCTAGTTCTTGTTGTTGTCAGTTATTGGCTGTGTGTCTGTTCTCTCTGCACACTGCATGGGCTCTGCCCAGGTAGCCCGTACAGCAGCCTCCGATCAAACTGCCCAAGTAGACCACAGACTCGGTGCAGTGGCAAAGGTGTCCGGCCAGGTTTATTGCCGAAAAAGCACTGTATCAGTGCCCTGTAGTACACTAATACATGCATCTGTGTTACAATGGACCAGCTCAGTGAGCAGTGGGACTTTCTGTTCCCCCCTCGGCTGGACAGACACCCCCTCTGCGACCCCTCTTTATACACTGATACAAACAAGCTATGTATTGACCCTCTGATGTGGTTAGTTACCACCTGTGACATTCTATACCTTGGGGGAATGTATTGTAACCCCCATAATCTTCATTTTCATATAATCGTGATCTCACATATAAAACACGCCTTGCAAGGTATCAGGGGAAAGTTTATGATCTGCTGAAAGTCATTTCTCTAGCCGTATATGTTTATCATTAACACATATGAAGTTATGAGAATTCTGTTGTATGGTGGTCACTAAAATATGTGGTAAATTGGGGAATCAGCCAGATATCAGCTCCCCAGAGGCAACAGCAAGGAAAGTAGCCAACCCATCAACAGCCATTGTCCAGCAAGGGAGCTACAATGCGATGTCTCACCTTCATGAGGCCACACCAGGGAAATAGATCAACGTTGCTTGGAGAGACTCAGTAATGCTCACCTAACTCTGAAGGGTGGTGGGAGGTGAGGGGCAGGGCAAAGCCATGAGGTAAGAAAGGACACGATAAAAGGGAGAGACATTTGCCATCCTGTCTCTAAGAATGATTAGATGATTAGAAAACCTGCCTTGTCATGCTAGTCTCAAGGAGCTCGATCTATTTAGCTTAACACAGTCTCTAAGTACCTACCTGGGGAACAAATAGTTAATAATGGGTAGAGAATCCAGCCGAGGAAACGTCTAACCCGACCCAATGGCTGGAAGTTGAAGTTAAACAAATTCAGACTGGGAATAAGCTGCAAATTTTTAACCATTAGAGTAATTAACCGTTGGAACAAATTACCAAGGATCATGGTGGATTCTCCATCGCTGGCGATTTGTAAATCAAGCAGGTCTGTTTTTCTAACAGAGCTGCGCTAGCTCAACCAGGAATTTACGAGAGCTGGTCTCTGGCCTGGTTCCTACCGGAGGCCAGACAAAATGATCACATGGACCTTCTGGCCAGACAAGCAATGACTCTACAAATCATATCCCTGACACAATGGCGGTGGCATTTGCCTGTGTCATCTCTTTCCAGAGATAACTTTCGAAGCCACTCCTGCTGCCCGTAGCAGTGACACTGTTACCAACCCAGTGCCAGAGCCCTCTGCTCTCGTTGATCGAGCTCTGGGAAATCATCTCAAAGGGTGACTCCTTATGGGGAGGGCTGGGGAAGAGCAGACCCCAAATTCACATCTTTCTGCCAGCTGTTGTTTTCAGTCCCATGCACCCCCTCCCCGTTTTATAGCTAAGTCAGCAGAGAGGGTCTCCGAGGGCCGGAAGGGAGGCAGGTCTGTGATGTGGCAACCCGCCCCCATCTCTCCATCGCCGGGCAGCTGCTTTCATCTGCTGGGGGTTGACCTGGGGACCTCCCCAGCTAAACCATCAGCTGCTACAGCTTGAGCAAAAGATCTCGTGTCCCTGCGGACTGGCATAGAGGGGCACCTGTCACACACACCCAGCCGATGGTTGTGAAGGCATAAGCCACCCCTGTCTCCGAGAGCCCAGCCTTCTTGGCCACTCCATTGCTGCTCCGGACTAGCAAAGCACCCCGTGACCCGCTGGGACTTCACCAGCTGGTCCACCACAGGGCCAGCAGTTACTCCTCGGTCGAGCAGCAGGGGCAAAGGATGGGACTTGGCCATGCTGCATCTGGGGCCAGCGCAGGAGGAGACGACCCTGGCTGGGGCCATGGGGCTGGAGGACAGAAGCACCCCACCCAGGTCTCCTCCAGCTCCCATGCCGCTCCGCTGAGGCTGGGCCAGTGCCTGAACACTCTGTTCCCTACGAGGCTGATCTGCTCCACCCCTCAACCCCGATCCCCCGGGACTCTCCAGCCTGAGCCCCGGGGGGCAGGACTTGGAGGAGAAAGGCCACAGGGAGCAGGAACAGCAGCATCCTCAGTGCAAGCTCAGGGACGGTGCATCTCCCTCAGCCCTGAAAGGTTGTACAGACCTGCCGGGCGCAGAGGGGTTGGGGGCAGGAAACCTCAGGGTGTGGTTTGCACCGGCCTGGCGGGGGCTCAGCTGTCTCAGTTCCTTTGTCCTTCTTAGCTGTCCCCTGCCCTGTGGGGTGAGTGTGAGCTGGGGGAGCAATGTGGGTCAGAGAGATCAGATCCCCCCGTCTGTGACAGCCCCACTGCCCACAGACCCCCCCATGGGGGAAAAGAGTGTCTCTGATTATCAGCTCTGCCGAGCCAGCCAGTCCCTGCCCTGTGGGCAGAATGGGGCTGGTGCCCCTATAGGGAAAAAGCCCCATGTCCCATTCCCCACCCCCCTGAGCCAGCCAGCCCCCCCACCCCCACTGGGGCCAGATGGGAGCTGGCACCGCCTAGAGATAACATAACACAGGGAGGGGGGAACAACAGAGATATCATTGGATAGAGGTGTGTATGGGGCTAGAGAGATAGCTAGATAGATGGGGATGAGGATGGATAGACAGATGTGGATGGGGATAGATGGATGCAGGGGCAGCAGGTTTGTAGAAATTTTGGTGGTGCCCAGAATGCCCAAACTCTGCCCCCCCAACTCCACCCCCCCACCTGCCTAAGGCTCTGGGAGGGAGTTTGGGTGGGGGGAGCAGGTCTAGGGTGCAGGCCCTGGGCTGGTGCAGGGGATTGCGGTGTATGAGAGGTGCAGGGTGCAGGCTCTGGGAAGGAGTTTGGGTGCAGAAGGGTGAGAGGTTGGGCTCTGGGAGGGAGTTTGGGTGGGGGGAGGAGGTCTAGGGTATAGGCTCTGGGCTGGGGCAAGGGGTGGGGTGCAGGAGAGGGTGAGGGGTGCAGGCTCTGGGATGGAGTTTGGGTGTAGGCTCTGGGCTGGGGGTGCTGGTGCAGGCTCTGGGAGGGAGTGGGAGGGTGCGGCGCTTACCTGGGGCTCCTAGGCAGGGTGGGCTGGGGGGCCTCTATGTGCTGCTACCCCCAGGCATAGGCGCTGACTCCGTGAGTGCTCCGGGGCTGGAGCACCCAATGAAAAAAAAATTGGTGGGTGCTCAGCACGCACCAGCAGCTCCCCATGGCCCCGCCCCGCCCCCCTGCTCCAGCTCACCTCCGCCTCCGCCTCCTCCGTGAGCGTGATGCCGTGTCCTGCTTCTACCCCTCCCTCCCAGTGCTTGCGCCGCGAATCAGCTGGTTCGCGGGGCAGGGAGGGAGGGGGGAGGAGGGGGAACGCGGTGCACTGGGGGAAGAGGCGGGGCCGGGGCAGGGATTTGGGGAGGGGGGCGGATAGGGGGGGGGGGGGGGGGGGGGTGGGGGGGGGACCGGGGGGGGGGAAAGGGGCGGGGGGCGCGGGCACCCACCGGCGCTGGAGAAGGTTGGTGCCTATGCCCCGAGGCACTGCCCTCTCAGCTTCCTACTGGCCGCAGGGCGCTTGGGATGGGAGCAGCGCGCGTTGACACAAACCCACCCTGCCCAGGGGCCGCAGGGAGGGGCCAGCAGCCACGTGGAACAAGCAGGCAGGAAGCTGCTCAGCTCCACTGCGCTGCCGGTGGTGGATGGGGGCCCCAGGCCATTTTAAATGGCCCGGGGGACGTGCAGAGGGGAGCGCCCGGGGGCAGAAGGCGGGGCTGAGGGAGAGACCAGCCTCAAACATTGCTGGAGCCAGGCCCCAGGCCAGGAATATTCCTGGTCCCCAGGCACCACGGACCCATATAACTCTCCACCTATGGATGGATGAGGCTAGGATAGGGGATGGATAGACAGATGAGGATGAAGATGGGAATAGCTGGATAGGTGGAGATGGGGTAGATGGATGGAGATGGATAGATAGATGGGTTTTTTGTGGCTAGAAGAGACTCTGTCAATCCTGTCCCACGTTTGTCCCAGAAGCCAACCCCCCCAGTGAGCCATGGCGATCCCAGCCCGGCCCCCCAAGGAGGTTGCAGCATCCTGGGGAATGCCCTACAAGACGCCCCTCCCACCAGGACCCCCTGTGGGGCTCTGCAGCACAATCAGCTGGGGCGCAGGTGCAGTCTGGACATAGCCTCTTCTTCCCGACCGTCCCGCATGCCCCCCGTGCCCAGGACAGCACTGAGCAGGCCATGCCAGTCCACGGCGTGGGAATCCCAGCCCCAGGTCCGGCGCAGGCAATTCCCTTTGCATCTTGGTCCCAGCCAGCGGGGCTCCTCCTGCCCTGAGGGGAGGCGTTTCCCCCTTGCACCCACCAGCTCCCTGTTGCACTGCAATCACTGAACCCAGGTGTCCTGGGTCCCAGCCTTCCCCTGTCAGGGCGAACTCCCTCCCGGACCCGGGCCGACCCAGTGTCGGCTCTGGAGGTTGAGGCTCAGGTTGAATTTTCAGTCCCAGTGCCAGCATTTTTTTGTAAATTTATGTTTATTCACGACAGGGCGACGAAGCAGTGAGTGCAATGAATGCAGATGTGCAGGGGGGTGGGGATGCTGGAAACAGGCTATTGGTGCTGGCGCTGAGTTCCCGTCCCATTGACGATCTCCCAGGGGCCTTGACGGCACTGGGAGCAAGTGGGTTTGGAACGGGAGGCGGCCAGTCCAGGGTAACGAACACAGGACAGCGCTAGCACGGACAGGACAGGTTGCAGTTCCAACATGACTCAGCTGGCAGGGTGAGGACGAGGATCTCCCCCGAACAGTCACTCGACCGGCCGACATGGGGGTGAGCTACAAACCGCCAGGTCAGCCCCAGGGTTCAGCTCGGAGACAAACCACCTGCTTCCCTAGCCTGAGTTTGGTTGGGCGTGCCAAGGGAGCCGACGGGATCTGGATTTGAACCTGGTCCTAACTCCTGTAGACCCCCTGCCTTGTTGCTCATGATGGTTGGGTGCTGCCCACGGCTCCCCTGAGCGGAGCAATAGCTGGTGGCAGGGAGATGGGGGAAAGGGGGAAGCACAGCCCCTTTCCAAAGCAGGCCCTATGTCGGGGCATCTCCAGAGGCCCTCTTGCGAGACAAGCAGCAATTCCCGGTGGGGCTCAGGGCTGCAGTGTTCTCATGGTCTCCAGGATCCAGGGAACAAATCTTGAGACTCTGGTGTACACTGCAGGGGGGGTCCCATTGGGGGAGTCCCAAGAGACAATGCCCTGGGCTGTTTTGCCGCACACCAGGGGGCCCCCGGAGTCACCCTGAGAATTAAAAGAAGCAGATGATGAGAACAATTAGATCGGTTTCCTGCTGTTATTCAAGCACTGACCTACAGCTAAGCAATACTGCCCTAGCCCAGCCATTTTTAGCATCACCCTCCGCCCCGCCCCCGCCCTGACACAGCTGGTCTCAGCATCGCCCCCTCCTTCCTCAGCCCAATCGGTCTCATTGGGCCCCACCCCCCAGCCCAGCTGCTCTCTTCCTCCTCCTGGGAGAAGCAGCATTATTCATTTGTACAGCGCCTAGCGCCGTGGGGGGCTGGTCTCTGATCTTTGCTCACAGGCCCGTCTGCAATCCCGAGAGATTCACTGCTCCTCAGAAGGAAATGGCCTCTTGAACTAGGAGGACTTTTACCTTAAAGGAACTTTTGCCCTGTTTCGGATCCCCTGCACAAAGCATAGTGGAGGTGTTATAGTAACGATAGATCTGGTCAGGATTCCTCAGACACACATAATCCTCCAGCACCTCCACATCCACCTCCTGGAGCACATCTGAGCCCTTTGCACTGCGGGCACTCGTCCGGCCCCAGCCAGCGACACTGCACATGGCCCCGGGCTGCACGCCCTGCCAGGTGCTGGGCAAGGGGATGAGCCCCACCCATTCATTGAGCCTGGCTCGGTGCGCCAGCTACAAAGACAGGACACGAGGCTCGCAGTCAGCGAGAAATGCAGTCGTGGATGGGCCAATCCAAGAAGAAAGCAAAGCAGGAGGTGGCCACTGGGAGTGGGATAGGGGCGGTACCTGCAGCAGGGTGAGGTCACTGGGGGTGGGGTGATGGGATGGGGGCGGTGCCTGCAGCAGTGTGAGGTCCCTGGGGGCGGGGTGAGGGGATGGGGGCAGTACCTGCAGCAGTGTGTGGTCACTGGTGGTGGGGGGATGGGATAGGGGTGGTACCTGCAGCAGTGTGAGGACACTGGGGGTGGGGTGATGGGATGGGGGCGGTACCTGCAGCAGTGTATGGTCACAGGGAGCAGAGTGATGGGGGGGCTTGTACCCAGGGCTGGCGCAACCCATTAGGCGACCTAGGCGGTCGCCTAGGGCACTACAATTTGGGGGGCGGCGACCGCAGCGGTATTTTGGGGCGGGACCTTCCGCCGCCTAGGGCAGCAGAAAAGCTAGCAGCGCTCCTGCTGGTACCTGCAGCAGCATAACATCATTGTTAAAGGAGTACATGTCATATTGCGGGTGGGGGATCCGGCGAATTTCTTGTCGGCTCCATTCCCACAGTCTAAGGTTATGGACTCCCAGCTTGACAGTGATGTAGCTAGAAAAGTTAAGGGGAAAGCAGGGGTCCTTAGGGGCGGGGGCGTATGCACAGTGATAGACGGGCCCAGGTGGGTCTCACTCAGGAATACTGCTCTTGGGGGCTGCAACATTTTAAGAGCATAAGTGCAGCCATACTGGGTCAGACCAAAGGTCCATCTAGCCCAGTATCCTGTCTTCTGACAGTGGTCAATGCCAGGTGCACCAGAGGGAATGAACAGAACAGGTAATCATTAAGTGATCCATCCCCTGTCGCCCATTCACAGATTCTGGCAAAGAGAGGCTAGGGACACCATCCCTGCCCATCCTGGCTAATAGCCATTGATGGACCTATCTTCCATATAGTGCCTTAGTTGTCTCTTTTCCAAGCTGAAAAGTACCAGTCTTTTTAATCTCTCCTCATACAGAAGCCGTTCCATACCCCTAATCATTTTTGTTGCCCTTTTCCAATTCCAATATATCTTTTTTGAGATGGGGCAACCACATCTGCACGCAGTATTCAAGATGTGGGCGTACCATGGATTTATATAGAGGGAATATGATATTTTCTGTCTTGTTATCTATTGCTTTCTTAATGATTCTCTGTTCACGTTTTTGACTGCTGCTGCACATTGAGTGGATGTTTTCAGAGAACTATCCACAATGACTCCAAGATCTCTTTCTTGAGTGGTAACAGCTAATTTTATATGTCTAATTGGGATTATGATTTCCAATCTGCATTACTTTGTATTTGTGAGGTCCCTTTGAAGTGCTTCGCAGTCTGCCTGGGACTTAACTATCTTGAGTAGTTTTGTATCATCTGCAAATTTTACCACCTCACTGTTTACCCCTTTTTCCAGATCTGGGCCCCCTGTCCCACCTAGCTGAGTCAGAGCCCACCCAATAAAGATTCATTCCTCCCTTGGGTCTTTGGGCATCCTGCGCATTGCCGGCTCCAATCCAGCCCAAGGGCCAAGGGTGGAGTTTGGGGGACTCAGGACGGGTGGGTTTCTTACCCCTGCTTGTCGTTGCAATGAGCTGCCGTCAGCACCACATCGTCCCGAATCAGGAACCCCCCACATGTTTTCACCCCTCTCCACGTTGCTATCTGCACATAGGCCATGTAGGGTCTGGAGTGGGGCCGGGTTTCCCATCCCCCGATGATCTCCCCTGGCAGGGAGACAGGGAGGGGTGAAAATCATCTGCTTTGAGACAATGTGAGGTCGGAGAGTGTAACCAAGGACCCCAGCCCTAACCCTACCCCTAATCAGGAGCCCTGATCGGCCTGTGGACCCGGACAACCCGGCCTCCCCGTCCGTTCTCTCCAGATCAGCCCTCAGCACCCCAGCTCTCCCCTCCCCCTGGATCGGCCCCTCACTCTATCCCCATCCCACTAT